TCTTATTGTGATCAACTGTTGAATTGGTTTTGTTTTCATTTATAGTTAATTTAAATACTACTAGTTTCCCATTAATGTTAAATTGTTTTCCCCTATAGGTGAGTGATAAGATGGATCCGAATGAGCTCGTGAAGCTTATTGAGATTCTGAATCCTCACAACAAACCGGGAAGGATAACGATCATCACGAGAATTGGGGCCGAGAACATGAGGGTGAAACTTCCTCATTTGATCAGGGCTGTTCGTCGGGCAGGGCATATTGTGACATGGGTTTCAGATCCTATGCATGGCAACACCATCAAAGCTCCCTGTGCTTTGAAAACTCGCCCTTCCGACTCTATCAGGGTAATTTGCTCAGTTTCTTACCACCATTGTGTTAATTTGTTTCTTCACGCAGACAATCACATGAGCATTAGTTGTTTTGGTGTTAGAAGATGTGGCTAAGTAAGATGACATCATTTATTCTTTGGGAGGTTACCTAGTTTAAGCTTCTTGGTGTTGAACCAGATTCCCAGATTTTCCTACTAAACTATATGGCAAAGTTAAGTCTTAAAAGATAAGTAGATTCCAAATGAAGTGGGTGTGGTTGAGATCGCATGAGATTGTCAAGAATTGAATTACAATCATTTTTTAGTTCATCATTTGGTAGTTGTGCGTCTTTATCGAAAGAGTTGGTTTCCTCAAAAGCATATTATGGTGGTAGGTGACAACTATTTCCTTGATTAAAATCTCCCTTCTCTCCTTCTCTCTGTCCACACACGCAGGCACATTTAATAAGTCATAATACCATCACATCCAACGTATTAGGAAATAATGTACAACCGATTCATTTTCCACACACACACACACACACACATGTGAGCATACATTTAGTTAAATTCTAAGAGAAGGATTTGTGATAACACTCACAATTTATTCACTCAGGCTGAGGTAAGAGCTTTCTTTGACGTCCACGAGCAAGAAGGGAGCCACCCGGGTGGAGTGCATTTGGAGATGACGGGCCAAAATGTGACAGAGTGCATAGGAGGATCAAGAAACCTAACGTTCGACGACTTAAGCTCGAGGTACCACACCCATTATGACCCTAGGCTAAATGCCTCCCAATCCCTTGAGCTCGCATTTATTATTGCTGAGCGCCTTAGGAAGAGGAGGCTCGGCCGCAATTAGAAGCTCCACATTTGGAGGCGGGCGTAATTTGTGTTTGCCTTTCTTCAAAATGTTTTTTTTTTTTTTTTA